TCATTTTACCATTATGTTTGAAGACTTTAATTTTAGCTGCTGAAAGTCTCGCTCCTAAAATGAGGGAGGTGTGGTTGAGCTCGTCACTGATGATCAAATCTCCTTTCCCCACCAGGGCGGGTATATTTGCGGAGTTGGTGGCGAATCCCATTCCAAACACCATAGCTGCGGGTTTACCGACAAACCGTGCAACCAGGCCTTCCAGCTCGTTGTGAATGGCGAGAGTGCCTGATAATAAGAATTTAAATATCACACAGATTACAATAAAGAAGGCAAAAGAGAAGGCACGGGAAGTTAAAAGTCCTCTGTTTAGGACACGTTTCTCAAGTTAATGAACACTTATTGACGCTATCAACATGCCCGCAAAACTGGACTCACATGTAAACATTTTAAACAGGCACCAAGCCCTAATCTGGTACCTCAAGGCGCCTTAACTCAGGGGCACCCAGCGAGAATATAGTTCAAACCAATTAAAACATAGCATTCTGGAACGTATTTTAGTATTTAAATGGTAGATATAGGCATATTTTTATCCCCTAAAAATATTTCGTCTGTTCGGATTTCCTAGCTCAAAGTCTAGTGATTAAAATTATAGGGATCACAACTTACCTTTTCGGAAATTTCAGAAAGATATAAGGCTCCCCAAAATTCTAGGTGACCTTTTTAGGGTACAAATCTGTTAAAAATGGGCAATTATACCATGTTTTAGATATTCGAAAATCCTAGGAGAGGTAGGCAAGCAAGAAATTTTACGACAAATGCTCCGAAAATTCTAGATCTCAAATCGTCCCCGGAACAGTATATTTTCCCAAAGCTGACGTTGGGTGCCCCTGTTAACTTAAGGCGAATTTAGGCGGCTTTAGAAACATTTGCGAACAAAATTATGCGATCTAAAGGCGACGTAATACCCCAGATTAGGCCTGATGCCACGAGTTTTAATGCTGAGCACAAGTAGACCGACTGGCCAACGAAAGGTATCGTGACTGACTAGTGGAACCATCGGGTATTCTCATCAAGTTTCCAAAGTGTCTCTCTCGGACCACAGGCTAACATTGTGACGCAAATGAGAAAAGAAAAGGAACTTACTTGTCGTCATATATCTTTTAGAAAGTCGAACAAATATATCGGAAAGGAGGCAAAGAAAGCATTTAGAGAGCGGCACGATTGCTAGACCATCGGGAATTGATGCTAAAAAAAGTCCCATATTTATTTTCGATGTAAATTATTCGCTCACCATATTCATTTCTTGGGCTACAACCCGCAACACCGTATCTGCGAACCGCCTGCTCAGCGGCTTCTGAACATGGCCCAGAATTCTCGGCAAACCCAAGATAGTTGTACGACGCAAGATTCAACGCCCTGGTCTTCGTTCCAGGGTAACTGTGAATTTAAAGAAAAAAGAACGTCATTGAGCATAAAACGAGAATCTTGGCACTTATTTGCAATTTGCTTCTGAAAGTTTTTTCCACTGCCGAGTGACAGAAACTTATGAGCATAATTTGAGAATCTAGGAACATAATCTAGGGACTTATACATTAATTTCTGCATAAATTGTCACTTTTAGGAACACAATCGGCCAAGGCCTTACTGCTCTCGTTTTGACACACTAGCTCCCTTGATGGAGCACAGCGAACTCTCGCATTGAGGCAACCTCGTTCTTACGGACACCCCAATAATATGGATAGCAGATTACAGATGTTTGACCGAAAAAAAAATCTCCAATAATTACGTACTCCCGCTGGCGAAGCTACGGGTTGAGGTACTCCCTATGATGGCCTAAACCGTGAAAGTGTGGAAAAATCTGTCATTTTGTTATCTAAAAGACCCTTAATTAAAATATTTCGAACAGACGCACCTTACAGTCGTATCATTTCAATTTTAATATTAAGCGCTACATGTAATGAAAACAAGACTTGCTGTTAGTAGGTATTTGAAATGGGCACCACTTTTCTATGGAAGGAACACGACAGGGATACTATTTTTTGCCAAAACTGGTATATAAAAGATTACTAAGGGGTTAGAACTCGTGGTAGAGCGTTACCATATAAAACGCTATTAAGTAGCCCCCGGGCGAAGCTACGTACAACTTGTATCTACTCTAAATCTTGTTCTAAATCTTGCTCTCGGACACCGAGCAGCATCTTTCAACATTCAGAAACAACTTGAAAAAGATATCCATTCGTCTTTTATCAGCACATCTAGTTGTCTTTTTGGATGGATTTACGATTCCCACGTTGCGAATCAATCGAACTGGTTACAAATATGAATACATGCCTCTCTAATGCAAATGTTCTCTAAGCAACTACCAAGGCCCTACTATTTTTAGGGACTCTCGTTTTCCCACTTCAGAAACTATAACGGAATGGGTACAGGCTTACGGCGCAACAATTTCAGGAATCGTTTGGGAGGACAAGCGTTAGTTTTGATTGGTTGGGTTGCTTTGAATACAATCAACAAATCATAACTAACGCTTGTTCACCCAAACGTTCCCAGAAATCACTGCAGCCAAAGCTTGTATTCATCCTCCCTTGAGCTTCTGAGGTGGGGAATTGAGCACACCGATTCGCGATCGCAGAGCTGAGGGTGTCCGAAATAATTGACTGCATACGGCAAAAAGTAAGCGATCGCAATCAAAAGCGCTGAAATTAAGATCCATCCCAAACTAGTCCCTGGCCAGTCCTTTTTGCCCAACTAGGCCCAGTTTCAGCGCGAAGCTCAAGAGCCTGTTAACAAGTTATAGGGTAACCATACCTGAAGGTCCAGTTCCAGTCCTCTGATTCCCTGTCAAGCAGGTCTATCTCTCCACCTGGGACGCTACAGATCGGTCTGTTAAAGCAGTCTCTAGCACGAGTATACATGTTCCGGGTGTAGAAACTCTCAAAATCAGAGTAGAGTGGTACAAAACCCTAACAAAACGAAGGTGAGGAAAAATGAATGAGCTGCATTATTTAGAAAACCAACTCTCGGTCGTTCACATTAGATGGGTTGATTCTGCTAAACTGCTACGATACCGAAGTGCCTCAAAAGTGAGGGCTTTCAAAAAGAGGGAAGAGGGGTGGTTCATGTTCCCTTGCTTCCCACTATAGTTAAATTCCCCCCTTGATTTTCATAGCACAATATTCAACGGTTCCCTTGTTCCTTAAAAGGAAATTATCAACATGTTCTCTTATTCCTCCAGACCCCTGAAGGTCGTGAAAGTCATTTCAGCTTAATTGTTCTTCTTCGCCTTCACTGGTCAATAAAGATCATTACTGAACGAGTTCTTTCCCATATGCCCAATTTATCGACTTTATCCGCCCAAGAATTAAAGCCTGGCCTCCGGTCCGTTTACACTCATTCATAGCAGTAGTTATAATAATGTCTGTTCTACAACAACTCTAAAACACTTTTCTTTCCCACTTTTTTATCCTGATTGTTTCTGTCACGGAATTTCCGACATTTTTCTTTTAATTTTAGAAAAAACATTCTCTATACTTATCTCCGACAATTATATTACTTTTTAATATCTAACCTAAAAAGTCCAAAAAAAGACTGGAAAATGCATGTGAAAAGGTAATATTTCTGATTAAATCTAGTTATCAAAAAATCAGTATGACCTGAACAACGGTTTTTTTCTCGCACTGAAGATCATAAACCCGAATCGTTCGTCTTTTTGATATTTCTTTATCGAGTATCACCTTATCAGCTATTGAAGTACAAGTGTCATGCATCCCTGACAGTTTTTCCGTTAAACATTCATTAAAGAATTCTTAACTCGCCTTATAGAACGAGCTACCTTGGGAACTTGTCAAAACAATCCTAGCCGAATTTCGTTTCGAATCACTCAAAACGGCTTTACAAAATAAACCTAAAACATCAAAAAAGATTTTGCCTTTCGTTACGACTTTCAATCCTGCTACTCCGAATCTCAAAAAGATTCTGATGAAACACTAGCACCCTTTTACAGGCAACAACACGCTCGCGCAAATATATCCTAACGCCCCAGTTTTTGCTTATCGGAAGAAAAATCTCTAAAAGGTTCTCTTGTTAGAGCTAAAATTCCTCCAATTTAACAACAAGATTTCAGTACACGGTAAGGGTCGAGTGACAATATTTGTTATAATTTTATTTTTTCCTCAACTTTAAATTGATGTTTTTCCGCCCTAAAAAGAGAGTGGATCTCCCTTGTAATGTTAAGTACAAAATATATTTGTCTGTTCTACGATGCTCTGAACCACGCTTTTTCCTCATTTTTATGGTTTTATCACGAGAGAAGCGAGTTCATATATTTTTGATAACTAGATTTAATCAGAAATATTACCTTTTCACATTGTTTCCAGTCTTTTTTGGACTTTTAAGTTTAGATATTAAAAAAGTACTATAATTGTCGGAAATAAGTCTAGAAAATTTTTTTTTTCTAAAATCAGGAAAAATTGAAAAATGACGGAAATTGCGTGACAGAAATATTCACGCAATTTCCGTCAGGACAATTTGGTACTAGGGGGAAAAAACTGGATGACAGGAAAATGAGGAAAACAAGTGTTTTAGAGTTGTTGTAGAACAGACATTATTATAACTACTCATAGCGTCTAAAAACATTTCCGTTTTGAAATTTTGAAATCATTTTTATTGCATTTCTTTGAGTGATCATTAATTTTATTCACGGTGTTTACATACAATAAAAGCAAGCAATAAGGGGCTGTCGACATATTCACTTTTCCCCCGCTTAACGTCAACCGGACGTTTAGGGGGGGAGGGGGTAAGGCAGTGGACGTTAGAGCGGGGCATTTTTGGACAAAAGCAAACTGATGCATTTTCATAAATTATACGTCATGTGTGGAACGGCGCTCGTGACATAATTAAAGAGAAAGTAGGACCAATTAAAGAAGTGAGTGTAAATTGTGATCTTTTAAACTCTGCCCTTAACTACTAACAAATTGTACAATTTACATTGTGATCTTTTAAACTCTGTCCTAAATCACTAATATATTTTACAATACCAAAAATTATGGTTAGTTACGTTTGTGAACACAACTGGAATCTTTTTTCAATACATCCTTTGAACGTCAGCGTTCTTTTTTGAGAATCCGTTCACAGCCTCATGGGACAAAATCCGGGGCAATCATTTTCACTTCAATCTAACAACAATTGACAATACTTTAACTTAAACTGAATAAAGTATAAATCCGATAACGTTTATAATGAGTAACAGTGTAGCTTAACAGCAGAAGAGGCAAACCCAGCTAATTCCCTCGAATTCTTCCTCACTTGGCAGGTCGTGCGTAGTTGGTACGCAATTATAATGATACCATGTCTGACAAGTGTCACACAAAATCCATGGCCATGAAACAAGTTGCTTTGACATCTCCAAACAAAAATACAAAAAGCACGTGCTTTCAGAGTAACGAAAGAGTAATGCATACGTGAAGTAGAAAATAGAATGCCGCTGGCCAGTAGGTTTAGTATGTTGTTTGATAACATGGCTTGTACCAGCGATGCAGGCTTTGATCTCTGAATACTGTAGTGTAGTAGGGAATCAAAAGCATTGACAGGAAAAAGCAGTTATGTAGATTTTGTAAGAAAACAGGTAGGACAAAGCATAATTCGACGTATGAAGTTTCTACCACGTTTTAAAACAGTAAATCGGTGACATCTTCACGTAAAAAGTGCATGTCAGTATTCGTACTGGAATGCAGTGATTTTTCAGTGGAGCAGCAAAATTTCAAGTGGACGTTAAGGAGGGGGGAGGGGGGGGGGTCTGACCTAAACGTCCAGTTGACGTTAAGCGGAGAAAAGTCAATATGTCGACGGCCCCTAAGCACATCAGGGCGTACGCCATGAAATTGTTCTGTGAGTTAGGGGTCGTGTAAGCCGTGTAAAGACGAATCAATGCATGCAAGTCAGGCAGCCTTAGGTACCTTACAAAAGATTTCAGCTCTGGGACCTCAACGGCTTTTCAATTGTTAGAGCATGGGTTTAAAGATCAGTACCGACCAAGTAAACAGGAGCAAGTTTCAAAGGCTTAACGCTTTCTAGATTTAAACATCACAACTCATGGTCTAAAACAAGAACAAATCTGTAGTCAAGCAACAAAATCAAACAGTTTGTGGTCGCTCGTCTCTTGATATATCGCTACGATAGTTGTTTTCCTAACATTTTGACTATTCGGTGTATGACATGAGTTTGACTAAGAGTCGCGGGTCGCGGGTCGCGGGTCCAAGGTCGCGGTCGCGGGTCCAAGGTCGCGGTCGCGGGTCCAATGTCGCGGTCGCGGGTCCAAAGTCGCGGTCGCGGGTCCAATGTCGCGGCAGGGGAAAATGATTTGAAAACGACTGATATGAAAACAATATGAAGGGAAAAAATCTTTTTTGTGCACGATACTCTACGGTAGCCAATTTACAGGTTACGGATGTTAGAGTCAACAATATAATGTCTCAAGAAAAGACCTAAAAGAAAAAGCTGGCCGACTTTTGTGTTCACCGCAAGTTTATTTTGTTTTCTTTCTGTCGGGCCCAGTTAAGTGTAAATTCAGCTTTGAATATACTTATGTATAACAGTATCTGATAAAAAATGTTACCATGAGTAACCATTGTTTTCTTCTTGTCTATGAATTGCTCAAAAATCCTTAGGGGTGCATTCACTGAAAAATGTGCGATACACTTCATAGACTATAAATTATAAACGTTACAACAACTTAAAACCTTTTTTAAAAAAGGCTAACTCGGGCTCGAAAAGCTACGAGTCTGTCGGTAGAAGAAACGAGAACTGTTTCAATTTTAACAAATGTTTTTGGCAAAAATAAAGAAAACGCTTGTTGAAAAACTTCCTGGTCGCTGTTACGAAAAATTGTATTGCGTGAATAGTGTGACTTTCTAGAAGCTTCGCGAGAGTTCATAATTTGTTTATTTTAGGATCTTGTGTAAGCGTTTCTAAAAGTGGTATATTTTGTAATCTTTCTATAATTAGACTACTTGGAAAGTTCTAGAATCTTATTGTAAAGGTATATAACGTAGGCGAGCCCGAGTTAAGTTTTAACTAGTTTTCACAAGCGAAGAGAGTTTGACGTTGGTCGTGTTTAGTCAAGTGTGACGAAGGCAGTGTTTATTCAAGTTGGCGGAGGCCGTGTAAGTTTAACGAGTTACGTGCTGTTGTGGAGTTTTACTCAGTGGAAACTACGTTCATCTTTGGAATAAATCTTCTTGTTGCTGTTCCGACAACCCTGCGTTCAGTTTAGTTTGCAAGCTACCCATCCTCTAAAAGATTACCCGCGTAACAGTCGCAAACTCCCAAAATAAACTCTTTGCACAAGTAACTGGAAAGGGGAGGAGAGACGTTGGGCTTGAAGTGCCAGTAAAGTACATTCAAGCGGGTATTCAAGGCATGACTTTAATCAAAAAACAAGTAATAATCCACTGCAAGAGGGGATAAAGCTCGAGCTTTATCCTCTCTTGTCCACAGAAAGGAGTTTGTTCCCAATAACGATTGAAATCCGGAATCCAAGTTCTACCAAGAGAGAATAGATCATAGTCTCTTGGTTCTACTGACAAAGACTTGAATCCAGTACCTGGAATCTGGAATTACTTACCTAATTTATTGTCTTTTCTTAGCTGTGGTGGAGTTGATAACTTACCGTTTTCAGTGTCCGGTTTACTTTCTTTTTCAGCTTCATGATATCGGGCGTTATTATTTCCTTACCTACTTACTCACTTAGTTATTTGCGATGCATGTTTTCAAGATTTGACTGAGACGCACATTGAATGGCTTCCTATTGTCAGGTTGTCCTGGTTGCCATTTAGGTGAAGAGAACAAGAAGTTATATTGAACTCTCTGGGTTGCCGTCTCAGTTGGAAAAATAAAAGCATTAAGCGAAAATCTTGCTTCGAGGAACAGACTTCTTTCTGTGGATTATTACTTGTTTCCACATTAAATTCATGCCTTGAATACCGCTTGAATGAAGTTTCATGCGCCTATTTACATTTTCTTTCAGTTTTGCCGAAAACATTTGTTAAATATAAGAGTTCTCGTTTCTTCTACCGACAGACTCGTAGCTTTTTAAGTTGTTGTAACGTTTATAATCTGTAGTCTATTAAGTGTATCGCATATTTTTCAGTAATTGAACCCTTAAGCATTTGTGAGCAATTCATCGACAAGAAGAAAGCAATGGTAACTTATGGTAACTTTTTTTATCAGATACTGTTATGCATAAGTATATTCAAAGCTCGAATTTACACATAACTGGGCCCGACAGAAAGAAAAAAAAATAAACTTGCGCTGAACACCAAAGTCGGCCAGCTTTTTCTTTTAGGTCTTTTCTTGAGACATTATTTTGTTGACTCTAACATGCGTAACCTGTAAATTGGCTACCGTAGAGTACTGTGCATAAAAAAGATTTTTTCCCTTTATATTGTGTTCATATCAGTCGTTTTCACTCAGCTGTTACCTCGAACCCCAAATCATTTTCCCCTGCCGCAACACTGGACCCGCGACCGCGACTTTGGACCCGCGACCGCGACTTGGGACCCGCGACCGCGACATTGGACCCGCGACCGCGACTTTGGACCCGCGACCGCGACTTTGGACCCGCGACCCGCGGCCCGCGACTATTAGTCAAACTCACTGCAGACTGCAGACCACAGACCGCAGACTGCAGACTGCATGAGGCAGCAAGACTGTAAATTGAATGAAACCAAAAATATCGTAACAAAGGTGGCATCATCATCAACATTACCTTGTTCCGAGAAGTACATGTAAGGCCTAGAAGCGAAGTTTATATTTTTCACGCAAATTACACCGACCTCATTCCTGAAGGAGTTGTTGGCTGTTCTTCTCGTTTTGAATTATAGCAGAATAATATCTGCCGATGTCACAAACTCGCTCATGAATCCATAGCAACATGCAGGCTAGCAATTTAGCCTGCACCACAGACGAAACTAAACTCTGGTTATATAAGTCTGTCTGTGAAACAGCGCCGGAATCCTTATTCTACGGGGGCCCCACCTGTGTACTAGGATTTTGAGTATGAGCAATGATTGGCCTATTAAAAAAGCCATTGTCGATTTGCCTATTTAGAAATTCAAAATGCACTTCCGGTAATTCGTCGAGTCCAGGTAGGATCTGTTTGGTTTAGATTATTTGGCATATCCTTAAATACTGCTAAGATGAAATACGTCATTTAAAAGGTGTTAAATGTCCGTGATCTATCCTAGTTGTTTTTGTCGACGTCACTGTATTGAGCACGAAGTGCTCGCAATCTAAACACTTTTTTTACAGAAGACTACTATTTAGACAGGCATTAGTGGGCATTGTTACAGTCGAACCCCGCTATTTCGAAGTCAAGGGAAATGGAAAAAAGTTCGAAATAGCGGGGTTTCGAAATAACCGGGGAAGCGTAAAATTCATAACAATGAAGCATTTTTTAATAAAATACAGTACAGTATGAAGAAAGGCACTGATTAAATAAAAATACAATGTCGAATGATCAGAATAGAGACAGCAGAGTTCATGCATGAGTATTTCAGCCGGAAGAACAGTTCTTTAACAGTGCGTTTTGGTTTTGTAATTGAATAACACAGCTGGAATTTCTTAGCGGGACACTGCACGTGAGTCAAGCATTGTTAAGTTATTAATCACGTAACACGAGCTTAAATAAAATGCAAACGTTTCCAGCTGTGCTCTTATGTTCGTACTCTGTTTTTGACAAGTTCGAAATAACGGGGTTGATTTTAAGGTGTAGGGAAAGAACGATGAGTTCGAAATAGCGGGGAATTCGGAATAACCAAGTTCAAAATAGCTGATAGTAAATGACTGAAAACATAAGGGTAAATCCAAGGGAATTCGATCTTCCTTCGAAATAGCGGGGACTTCGAATTAACCGAGTTCGAAATAGCGGGGTTCGACTGTAGTTGTCATTATCAATTCACAATAATCAAAGAAGAATAAAGAATCAACGCAATTAGTGATATGCCAGGTGGGCAATAAAGAGTCGCATTGGTGAAGAATAGCCAACAGCATCTTGGAAATGAGGCCATTGTAACTTTGCGCAAAAATATCAACCTTGTTCGCAGGCTACTTTCTCATTTGCACACGATGTTATATTTTTGATGGTGTCACCTTTATTAGGAAGATTTTTGGTGTCTTTTAATTTACAATTTGCAGTCTGCGGTCTGCAGTCTGCAGTCTGCAAATGTCATACACCGCCTAACAACTAAGTCAACAGAGATCCTTTTAGATACAACATTTATTAACATCCAATCTTCTGAGAGGAAAATATTATGCAAGAAAAATTCAACTTATAACGAAATATCCGTAAAATTCCGAAAATAATCCCTGGGGCTTATATTTTTCAAAGGCCCTTTTTGAGGCTTATTTTTGGAGGGGCTTATATTCGGAGGGTCATATCTACGGAGGGAAATTTGCGTTTCAAAATCGATTGGGCTAACCTTATAGAAGAAACAAAATTTACCGTTTTTGCTTAGTTTTACTTTGTATTTGAGGGCAATTTCCAATTACAAGCCCCAAGAGGGGTATATATTTGGAGGGGCGATTTAACGGAGGGTCTTTTGCGTCACGAGTTTGGGGGGCTTATATTTGGAGGGGCTTAACATGGAGGGGCTTATTTTCGGAATTTTACGGTATTGCCTGAAAAAAAATCTGTTATTATCAATTGATTGAATCTTGATTTGATGAGGTAATTTGGCGTCCGTTAGGTTTTTCTCGTTTCCCAACGAACGCAACATCAAAAAGCATTCAAAAACAACAAAAGAAAGATAACGTACTGGGTTTCCATTCCGAGCGGAATAATTTCGGGAGATTTTTGTCAGGGGCACCCAACGACAATTTTTTGAAAATATCTGTGCGGAAGACGATTTGAGATCTAGAATTTTCGGAACATTTGTTGTTAAATTTCTTGCTTGCCTACCTCTCCTAGGATTTTCGAACCCCCCAAAAATGGTCAGTATAATTGCCCATTTTTAACGGATTTTTACCCTAAAAAGGTCACCTAGAATTTTCGGGAGCCTTTTTTCTGACTGAAATTTTCGAAAGGTAAGTTTTGATCCCTATAATTTTCGGATCACTAGACTTTCAGCTAGGAAATCCTATATCTACCGTTTTAATATTAAATACGTTCAACAATGCTATGTTTTAGAGGTCTTGAACTATATAAATTCTCGTTGGGTGCCCCTGTTTTGAGTACGATTCGGACGAACGATCATGAGTCCTCGGGAGTCAATTCAACTGGTTGCTAATAAAGACAGCAAACTACGGGGGATAACAGCAGATTTTGAAAAACTACAATCTGAGAGCCAAAGAAAATGGCAGAACCTGAGCAGATCTTAAGAGAATTTCTTGAGGGATTTTTCAACTCTTTATAAATCGTAGTATAATTGTTCAAGGTCTTGCATCTTTTAAAATATCGTTAACTCTACTTCTAGATAGTTTTTTAAAACCTTTTTTTGTCATTGGTGTAAGAGTGAACTATCCTTATTTTCTTTCCGCTATAAAAATAACTTGCTGGTAAGTAAAAAGGAAAAAAGCTCTTCGATCTCTTGCCGCAGCTGCAAATTGTAAAACGATTCTCACAGCTGAATCAACAACGAGGAAGACTAATGAGTTTGAAGTGTTTCAGTTTAAACGAGTACTAATTATGAATTATTGATCAATAATTAATAATTATTGCTTGTTTAAACTGAAACTCTTCAAACTCATTAGTCTTCCTCGTTGTTGATTCAGCTGTGAGAATCGTTTTACTTCATTTACATGTTGAAGCCGTGAGAATTTACACAACAACTTAGAAGCGTTTCTGTTAGTTTGGTTCAACAAAATACTTGCATATCATCAAAAACAGAGATCCATTCAAAAAGCCAAAATCAGGCATTTTCTACCTGTTTTTTAATAATTATGTTACAAATATTACTAGGACTTTGAAACAGAGTTTCGAATTGATATTTTCTGAATGCCGAACCTAAAAGTGTAACTAGAAAAAATACAGAAAATAAAGAAGAAGACGGGTTCAAATCAAATACACAGCTCCAAATTAGGTGAACACGACAGTCGCTTCCGCATTGGAATCCGGAGGGACTCCCATATGGAACGGACGGAAGCTCGTCGCTATATTAAATTGGAGTGGGAGAGGAATTGCAGGTTTAGTTCTCTCTTAGGTTGTTTAGAGTAGAAAGCGCATATTGTTACCCAACAGGTTTAGCTTAGCGGCTAAGCGGAAAGAACCCACACCGTTGTCAACTTCTTAAGAACAATTAAAATTACTACAGCACTTATTTAGTTGTCTGTTTTGGTCATTGGTCTCCTACACAACTCAAATATGGCCAGAGCCATAGGTTTTAAAAATAATTCTTATTTTCCGAAGAGTATTATCGTCCCTAAACCTTCAATTTCCTAGGTTACTCAAGTAAAAATATTTCAAACTGATTCTTCGGCTGATACAATCGAGGTTCTCCTAGCTTGCTGACGGGGTATAAAATTTCTTGAAGACTCTCTAATCGTCCCCTCTTCAATTTATATATGCGTAGCTAAGAGCAATATTCTTTTTTCCAGTGGCCGTTATTCTTTTCAAATAAATAATTCTCCATCGATCTGCATAAGGCGTGTTACTAATATTTTTGTGCTGTAAGGCCATCCCCCCTTTTTTTCGTTTAGCGTCGAATGAGTTTCCTGATATTGGGTCACAAGAAGTCTCGGAATAGGAGGTCCCGGTTCGTCATGATGACGTTAAAAGTTAACATTTACATATCATGGATTAACAAAATGCACAATATACTGTAAAAAATGTTCCTGTTTTTGTTCCTGTTTTTCTTTGCACTGTTACTATATATGCTCATTTTTCAGATTAAAGAATTATTTCAAGTGAAAAATGGTTTAACTACGTCGTTACTTCTTTTTTCTTTTTTTGAAAATGCCAAAAATTTGGGCCGGTCGAACGACGCTAAACGGAATAAAAAAAGAGGATGGCCTAAAGTGTTATGTAAACACCGGCTTGCCAGAGTTTTACTTCCATTGTTCTCGATTAGAATGTATTGACAGCGAATGAGCTCTCAAAATTCACCTCTTTTCTCAAATATAACTACCAACCATTATTGAAATTATTTCTTACCTCGTTGCCGTTTTCTTTAACTGTCTTGCATTTTTCTAATCCATGTTTACGCAAAAAGTCACGGAAATAACCGAAAATTATGTAAAAGAAGTAAGCGAGATAGGTCATCACCGCGGCATGGAAAGGAGTTTCTTCGAACTCATCCCGAGATTCGGCGACATAATTTCCATTTTTTTTGCCGTAGCTAAATAATCCGTTCGATCCAGGAGCACAACCATTTTTTGAGGAAAGATGTTTTCTCGCGTGGCCAGCTCCACTGACCATGTTTGTTGCTGTTGACTTTTTGCTGGTTGCTCCTGCCAGAGTCACACATAGGGCTGAAAGCGAAGCACTCGACAATATTTATATATATACTTTGTTCAAACAAAATATAAAATCATGTATTGCTAAGCGGCGAAGGCAACGCCGGAGAACGGTGAAAAACAACAATAGGTCCAATTAGCAAAAAAGCAACTTTACACGTGCAGCACACTTTTTTTGTACATTTCTTTGCCGTTGTTTTGCACGACTACAACGTGAAACTTCCAGAAACTTCTTAGTTACACGTTTTTTCGTTCACTTTTTTTTCACTGCCGCTCATTTTCACCTTGCATTGGTGGCCGCTAGCATTTCTCATTTTGTCACCGCCGTTACAAAATTTTCATGTTGTTCTTCCAACAAAAAAATGTCTCCTTTGTTTTTTTAGTCTCTCGCTCTAAATCTCTGTCGCCCTTTTTCTCGTTGAGCTTCGCTGGCCTGCCGCCTACTTTCTCTTTTTCTCTGTGTTTCTCTTGCTCTCTAGTATATTCCAAACTTACTTTAGAAAACACGGATACAGAGACAATTTCCGCTTTCCATTTTCCTCTTCATTGACTCTTTAGTTGTTTCTGCTTTACAAGACGCAGGTGGCTATGCGATTTCCCATCAAAATAACCTCGAGTTGCATTTGGGTTGCTATACCTGTTGATTGAATTATTTTACATTGGTATGCCTGTGGTGCAGACGGACGGTCTCTCGGGCGGTGTACGGTCACGTGATTACCAAATTTTCTAGGATGGGTAGTTTACCACGTTTTCTTACCTATGGTGCTCCGCTGCGCGCTTCGTAAGCGAGAGCTCCGCTATGAATGAAGCTGCTTGGCTTGTCAATCAGTTCAGTCAAGAGCATGAAATGAAATCAATGATATTAGTGAACATGATTACGGAAAAATTATTTCTACTTATTTCTATCGCTGTGGCTATATGCCCGGCAGCCGGGAAGGGTCTTTAAAAACCTAAATGCCCAGCAGTCAGAATTTTTTTGGAATTTTCTTCGAAATCTCTTTTTCTAATCGTCTGAAAGTATCCTATCTTCATTTACAATCGCCAAGCGAGTAACAGCACGTGGCTCACGGGCACGTTTTCGCACAGGCTAAATACCCGGCAGTCCGAGAGGCGACTGGAAAGTTAGAAAGCCTATTATTAAGACAATGAATGTATACTTGCCTCCGTCGATTATTTTCCCAAAGCAATAAGGAAGATACAGCGCTTTCATTTTAAAACCTCATTTTGTTTTTCGGTATATATTCGCCACTATTCACCTCGATTTCAAAACTCCCGTTTATTCGCCTAGAAGAGGCCGTTTCGTAAACTCAGCGTTTCCTAACAAGAAAAATTTGGCCCAAAAACGAAGTTTATTTATGACAAACAAATTTGAAAGCAAATGTTTGCAGGAATTCTACGTTTCAAGTAAACACGAGAAAGAATGCTACATGAAGACGACGTCTTAACTCGAGGAACTGAATCGCCATTTTTGTCAGCACTTCATGCGAAGAACGACACAACAAACCTTTTCGACTATAAACTTGGCGAGTCAACAGAAAACAACAAAGCTCTTCTTTTCTTCCCAGGTAAGGAAACAATTCAAACTTTTGGCGGTTCCATTTAAGTCACTACGCTGTTGTTTGCGAAGTGTCTAGCTGACCTGATCTGCCAATCAAATCGTACTTTTCAATGGTTTCCTCTCTGATTTTGTTGAGATCACTTCGTGTGTATATACTAAAACAATCATTCTTTTCAATCTCTGTAAATAGTGGCTTTAGGAATATTTACCTCGCCACCTCGTGGCTCGGTAAATATTTTGCCACTATTCACCTCGATTTCAAAGAATAATTGTTAAATATCCTACGAAAGCCGAATTAATTGCTTTATTATTCATTCAAAATAATTCCTAGCTTAACAACAAGGTAAAACATGCTTACCCTGTCGATGTTAAGTTCACCTCGACAGTGCATGTTTAGAAGATAAAGGGCTGTTCAGGTCTACAAATATACTCCAAATAGCAGATGTTGTCCGTCGAGTTGTCTTCTTGCTATGTTTTTTTTAGACAATAGTTCGTCGTGAAACCAGTAAAATGTTCCGCCGACTGTTCGGCCATTTTTCTTTTCACAATCAAAACAACTCAACCTCGTCCCCAGGTCTTCTCGGTTAACGGTGCATTAACCTCCAACTGTACTGCACTTGTGACGTCATCGGTTGATAATTAATCGCAAAATTCTTCCAAATTTGGTCAACAGTAGCTGTTAATGGTGAATTATGCGTGTGCTTTTAGGCAATCAGAAACGGAGAAATATTTTGAATGAATAATACCACTTAACTGTTAACTTTTCATTTATCAGTTAACTAATAATTTTTTGGCCAATTATCAGTTAACTACTGTTTTTTTGGCCAAATATCAGTTAACTGTTAACCCCATTCGCACCCTCTAAGAATGTTCAATTCCGTATTTTAGTGTAGGTAGCCAGCCAAGTTTAAGGACATCCTTTCTGAGCAGAAACTATTCAAGTCAAAACCAGCAGCACGCGTTGTTCTCTTTTCTGCAGATATGCGGGAAGTGGATAAGGGACGGAGTCATTAAAGTTAAGTTTGGATAGCACGAGGCTTTAAACAGGAGACTTGTTAGTCTCTTGTGGTGTCATATTCTTGATCTTTCTTAGAGTGGCTAGCACTTTAGAGCATGATGATGTGACCTCATTTACATGTTCTGTCAATTTAAGGTCCTCACTAAGCCAAGTTCCTAACAACTTAAATTCCTCTACTCTATCAATTAACTGTCTTATCTTTCAGGGTGAGAGGTGGAGTGTATCCGTTAAGATTATACACTTTAGACATCTGCTTGGTGGTAATAACCATCTGCTTACCAATAATAAGTTATGCAAAATAGGTTGCGTCCAAGAGGATAAATGTTCACTATGCAAAACGGATTCGGAATCCCTTTACCTCATCGTTTTCGAACGCAGACACACCAAGCAGTTTTGGAAGGAATTTCAATATTACTTTTCCACATTGACAAGAGAATTCGTCTGTCTGAGCTTGCAAAGACTTTATTACCGGAATATTATATACAAATTTTCCTTTGCTGAATTATTTGATACTGACCGCTAAACTATACGTATGGGGTTGTAGAAGAAATCAGACTCTTCCAGTCATAACTGCCTTTTCATCCAAGGTTAAAATTAAGTATGAAACAGAAAAGTCTATATGCGTTAAAGCAAATAAACAGGAGAATTTTAATAAGAAGTGGGCTCTGCCTTTGGACTCTGTACCCTAGTAACGTGTATACTTCGAACGTTTTTTTTTTCTATAGTTACTTTAGTGTTAAAGTTTATTATGTAATTTAATGTAATGTAATGTAATGTATTTGTCATGTATTGTAATGCAATATTATTATATGGAGGAGAGTGTCTTACTGGGAACTAAACCACTCGTAGAGTCCATACGCCACTTCATCCGGGACCCGAGTGGCGTATTTTCCGTATGTCACCTTTGTGAGTGTCGTATCGTTCAATGACGTCACGATTCCCGCCTTTTGCTTTTGTTGAATTGGTTTCTCCATATAATAAAAAGAACATTACACGTTAGCTCGAAGATATGAATTTTATGTTCGAGTGGCAAGAACAATATCTCACGAGTGAGCGAAGCGAACGAGTGAGATATTGTTCTTGCCACTCGAACATAAAATTCATATCTTCTCGCCACCGTGTAATATCCTCTATTTATGCAAGCCCCGGCCGGTGGTGGGGGAAGGGAAGACTCAGGTACGAGAAACAAGAGGTTCCCCTCCCCGACTCCTGTTGAGTTTTCATAGATGCTGGTCACGTGATTGAAAACGCACTATTCCTTTTAGATACATAAAACGAACTTTTAGTCACTAAATTAAATTCGATACCCAGCTTCGCCCAATTTAAAAAACTAAATGTATTTGAGAACTGTCACGTCAGCTTCATTGAGGTGTTGTGGGTGTCCTCCGTGAATACTTCACCTTGAGTATGTCACCCACTTCATCGATGGCCTTCAGCGCCTAAAAAACAACCGGTTAATCTTTAGACAACTCAACAAACCAAAAGGACATCACATCTATAGTACACACTCTTAGGCTAAGTCATGCAGACAACTGCAATTACAAATAATTCATAGCAAAGAAGGGGCGTAACTAGGGTTTTCCAGAGATACGCACAATTTTCCAAATACCTCTAACACCCTCTCCCCTTACGTTGACGCTTTATGTATGTAAACACTTTTTCCGCTTTTTTTCTGAATATGTCGATTGACTAATAAATCTCGCGTTTCGTCTCTGGAAACCGAAATTCGGGTGTTAAAAGGAAAAGTCTGTTGTTTTAGAAAAAGATTATTTCATCACAAGCAGAATTTAAATGAATTAAGGAATGTTGTGCTTTTTAATCTATTTGCTTTTTTCCAGACAATTCACTTTTTAATCCATATAATTATATATTTTTTTGGTATGCACGTGCGTACCTTGTGGACAGTTAGCCACGCCCCTGCAAAGAGACCTTAACTTACCCTGTCTAACATTTCTCTCGAGTGTGATGCTGAGAGACAGATTCTCGCCCGGGCTTCGATTATGGAGGTGGCAGGAAACCCAACGATTACTACAGCTATGTTTCTTTTCAACAATTCCCGAGAGAAGGCGCTGAGAGAGAGTATAGATGAATTGTGAGTGACAACACTTGGGATAGATGCGAAAACACATTATGAATACGCATGCAAAAGTGCCGAAAGACATTAAGCAACCTTTTAATAAGACAAAAAATAAATCTTCTATAAAGTTAAAACTTCACTTACACGCATTTTGCCGGCAAGTAAAGAAGAATGGGCACCACTGCTGAAGCTTCATGGCCATACACGATAAATCCCATGTCTTTCAATCTTTGTCTAAAGTACCTGTTAAACAGCGGCGTGTAAGAGCGAGGTTCATATAAAGCATTTATAGTCTTTAGAAATTGTAACCAAGCTTTGATTTATCTTTTTACTCAATCAAAAGTCATATATTTATCTCTACCACTATTAGTTCCACCACTTTTGCTAATCTCAAAAAGCGTCTTCGGGACCTTCCTTCTTTCTCATACCTTTGAAACTGCTTATGAAATTGTATCCATATTTTCATAATATTTTAAGCTTACCTGCTATTCTCTGCCAAGGCCGTAATCCTTTGTCTACCTAGTATGTTTAAAAAACAAAACAGTTCATAGCAACAATTATTTGTGGTCAAACGACACTTGCCAAGTGTACATGCTTATGCAGACGACACGCAGTTATACTTGGCCTTTAAGCCTGACTGTGCCTTGAGCACTAACGAAGCTATTTCTGCAATGGAGGTCTGCGTTCGTGAAATCATAGTGTGGGTGTTGTGTGATAAACTCAAGATTAATGAAGATAAGACAGAAGTTATTATTATAGGTACGCGACAGCAATTGGCAAGGGTTCAAGTTGACTGTCTTACAGTTGGGGATGCTCGTGTACCCTTTGGTTCCGCCGTTAAAAAATTAGGAACTTGGATTGACACTTTACTTAGCCTACAGGTTCAAATAAATATAGTACATGTAAAGCCGCGTATTACCATCCCACGAATATCAGGCGTATAAGAAAATATCTAAGTACCAAAGCAACACGAACATTGGTTCATGCATTAATAACAGGACGTATCGATTATTGTAACAGTATTCTTTATGATCTTCGTCCCTACATATAACAAAACTTCAACGCCTTCAGAACTCTGCAGCAACATTAATTTTTAATATACCTAGTTTTTCACATACCACTCTAGTTTTATATTCACTACACTGGCTTCCAGTTTAATTTAGGATAGAATTTAAAATTATGTTAATTACATTTAAGGAAAACAGCCTACATTTTGCAACGCTACCACGGTGGTTTCCCCGCAAAATGACGTCTGACAATTATTAAAACGACTGCAGAAATTTTTTACTGATGATGTGTCACTACCAAGATCTGGGTAGTTCTTCTGATTGGTCGTGCAGCAAGGGAAATTTTTCTTCAACCAATCAGATGTACTCCCCAGACCTGGTTAGTGATACGTCATCATTATAGAATTTCTGCGTGCGTTCCTCAGACTTCATTTCGCGGGAAAACCACCTTAGTGACGTCGCGAAGTGTCGGCTGTTTTCTCAGGCTACAGAAGGGATAGCACTAGGCTCGATTGAAGCTGATTGTCGACTCCAGTGCTCTGTAGCCTGCAACAGTAGCAAGCTCTCCATTTATGGCAAGCGAAGCGAGCCGCTAGGGGCAGACTTCTCCAGATGGAGAGCTTATTCGCAGACTAAGTGCCCTGTATTCAAATCCAGAATTTAACTCGAATGAACGTCAATGTAAAAACAGTATCTGGACTGCATGGAAGGATCTACATACCTCTATTCGTCCCGTCCTCTCCCATGATAGTTTTCATTGACTTTATAATTTGCATCGCCACTGGTGGGGACATGAAGGATGCGTATGTAGCACTATGGGATTTTCCACGGATATGATTTATTATCTCCTAGTACAAAACAGTTATGATATATTGGTGATAAGTAAGGAGTTGAGGAATTTAAAAAGAAAAACAAAACCTGACGCCAGGAGGACGCTTGTTTGTTGCTACAAAATAAAAAAGTTTAAGAAAGTAAAAATTGGGGCATCAGAAAATAGTAAACAGCAATAATTATAAACTTAATGAAACTATATCAACCAACTATTCTCTGCGACGGAAATAACAAAGATAAAATAGTCCAAAAAACGGATCAAAAAGCACACCTTTCAGCCAGTAACACGGTGACAAAACTCACAGACGACCAAACCTACAGTGACCTATTTGAGCAATCAGGTCAATATCCAGATTGTAACAGAACTATCCACTGACGAGTCACAACTCAATTAGGCTTTAATAATGACTTTCACATAGGCTCTCAAAACGTGAGCCACGTCTACCAATAGTCATATTCAGGACAATACTCGCCAAGACGATCATATTTCAGCTACTTATGACACGACTCCTGGGTTAAAACCATTCACCACAAACGGATTTAGAGGTCGACCGAGAGTGGACCGCGGCTAAACATTTTTCTGTGAAATGTTGTATTTTTTTTTAGAGAATTGTCGGTAAAAATAAAATTGTATCTATATATAAATAGTCTCTACATAAATGCCATATGTCCCGGCCGCCCCTTTCTGAACTTTCTGGATCCGCCCCCGGTTTACAAGATTGTTTTTGTTACATTATAGAGAAGCCAACATTACGCAGGGCCACCAAGGCTCTTACCTCAGACGCCGCAATGTACCCCCCTGCTGCACCAAAACTCTTAGTAAATGTACCCATCATGATGTCGACATCATTAGGATCAACTCCAAAGTAATCAGTCACGCCTCTTCCACGAGGACCCATGGCACCAATACTGTGGGCCTCGTCCAAGTAAAGATACGCTTTGTATTTCTTTTTAAGGGCAACAACTTCTGGGAGCTTGGCTAATGAACCTTCCATGCTTAAAAAAATAAAATAAAATGAAGATGTAACTTTGGGTGTAAATTTGCACCCCCGGAAGCCAAAACTTGCAGTGTTTCCCACATGACGTGTGTAAGAGGATACATTTTATGATTTTCTTTTGGCCTCATGTAAGGAAATGTGGCTTTGTAATCCGGAATTCAGCTCAAGGAATCCGCAATCCGCAATCCGCTAACAGTTGGAATCTCGAGACCACGTTCCACTGACAAAACTGATAACTCGAACCCTCTAGATCTTTTTCTATATAATTTTGCTCTTGATAACTCGAACTTTTTTTATTTCCCTTGAAGGTTCGAATTATCGAGAGTCGACTTTACCTGGAATCCTGAATCCATAGCGTGAAATCCATAATCCAAGACCCTCTTGGCTTATCTTACATGGTGCGATTCTATTATCATCTTATCAATATGAATTGGTTCTCATTATTCAGAATATCTTAGCAATGCAAGACTTTTTGGATCAGCGGTCGAGGTAGCTGTGCAAAATTTGGTTTCCCTGTGAAAAGCTTCACGCAAAAGACAACAGGGGTTAGATTCCAGTGACTAGTGTTGAAATTGTTGAAATTGCCAACATTTTGCAGCACCAGACTCCTCCACAGGTGCCTTAAGAAATTGCACGAAACGAGCCAAATGACAGAGAAAGGGGGCAGGAACTTCAAAGGTAGGGCAGTAACGGTAGGGACTGTCCCTCTTGGGTTAATTTCACACCTGTTTCGTCAAGGGCCTTATTTGCCTTATTTACATTTCCTCGTCACTTTTCGTCAACGGCCTTACAAAATTTCGTTATTTTCGCAATTTTCGTAACAGTCTAGCAAAATTTTGTGATTTTTGTAAATTCCGAAACAGAGTAAACCTGGACATATCTCCAATTACACATGGTGAAAGAGACATCCTAGGTTCGAGGCAGACGAAGCAACTTTCCTTTAGACTTACCTATAAACTCCTTCAACAATTATTAAAATCTTTTTCCACGCTCTGTGCGTCCTTGGTTGTCCTTGGACAACAGCTTCCCTTAGGGTCTTCTCTAAACATTTCATATCTGCGAAAAGTATTGAAGACAAAGAAAATATAAAAAACGACGTTGCCTGAACAATGAACGCGGGGAAGTAGGGTTGTTTAATATTAAGCCATCCATTTCAAGTTGCACCTTCCCCTTTGAACCAATCAGGACGCAAAGCAGACTTAAGCTATTGAGTCTTGTGCTCAACCTGTGCAATGGGTAACCTCCCTTGCAACCGTTTTTGTCTCGTGACCCAACGCTCCTCCCCCTCCCCATGGGGATGCGTGGGAAACAATGCAAAAGGCGCGAACAGGCTACAGCGGACATAGCGCTCCCTCTCACGGCACTTTTCAGGTGTTGAACACTTGTAAAGCGAGGGAGTACAGTTTACGGGTGTTAAACATCGGAAAACATGGTATTCAACAGTGAAAAAAAAAACGGGGAAAATGCTACAGCTTCAAGTGCTTTAAAGCGTGCTACTAGGACCGAGCCCAGGAAAATAGGGATATTATTCATTCACAATATTTCTCCGTTTCTGATTGGCTAAAATTCCACGTATAATTCATCATAAGCAGTTACTGTCGACCAAATCTGGAAGAATTTTGCGATATGTGAACTGATGACCTCAATCGTACAGCAAAATCGCCAGATCATTGAACTGTTAACCGAGAAGACCTGGGGACGAGGTTGGGGTTTTTGGTAGTGAATACCTATAAAGTGGCGAAACATTTCACTCGTTTCACGAGGAAGAAATAGGTGAACTATTGGCTAAAAACATAGCAAGAACCGCAAGAAGACAACTCGACCAACGACATCTGCTATTTGGAAAACATTTGCAGAACAGACCAAACCTTTATCTCCTAAACATGCACTTTCAAAGATGAACTTAACATTGATGGAAGTAAGCATGTTTTAGCTTGTTTTTAAACTAGGAATTATTTTGAATGAATAATAAACAATTATTGAATGAGGCTGAATATCTGCTGAAGAAAAATGTAGATCGAGGAGGGTGTTATCCTCCTCGGCCGCAGAGATGTTGTTTTGTTAATCTAAACCTCTCGCTTTTTCGCAGTTCTCGTTGCCGTCGCCGTTGCTAAAGCTCTTTATCAACCCATTTACGGTGCTTTACTTGATACTCTTATCGAATGTTATACACCAGACATAAGTTGTTAAATTCATTTTACCATTATGTTTGAAGACTTTAATTTTAGCTCCTGAAAGTCTCGCTCCTAAAATGAGGGAGGTGTGGTTGAGCTCGTCACTGATGATCAAATCTCCTTTCCCCACCAGGGCGGGTATATTTGCGGAGTTGGTGGCGAATCCCATTCCAAACACCATAGCTGCGGGTCTACCGACAAACCGTGCAACCAGGCCTTCCAGCTCGTTGTGAATGGCGAGGTGCCTGATAATAAAATTTAAATATCACACAGATTACAAAAAAAAGGAAAAGAGAAGGCAGCTAGGGAAATTGTAATGGGAACTGTACAAGTCCTTTGTCGGGGACACGTTGCTCATGTTATAATGACCAAGTTACCTATTTATAATGACGCTATTATATAACAAGCACGCAAAACGTGACTCGCAGGTGAACATTTTAAACAGGTACCAAGGCCTACTCCGGGACCTTAAAGCGCCTTAACTTTAGGCGACTTTTTTTATTATTTAAGGCGACTTTAGGCGGCTTTAAAAACATTTGCGAAAAAATTATGCGATCTAAAGGCGACGTTAATACCCCAGATTAGGCCTGATGCCACGAGTTTTGATCCTGAGAACAAGTAGACCGACTAGCCAACGAAAGGTATCGTGACTGACTAGAGGAACCTTCGGGTATTTTCATCAATTTTCCAAAAGTGTCCCTGTCGGACCACAGGCTAACATTGTGACGTAAATGAGATAAGAAAAGGATCTTACCTCGTCGTCATATATCTTTTTAGAAAGTCGAACAAAAATATCGGAACGGGGGCAAAAAAGTTTTACATAGCGGCACGATTGCTAGACCATCGGGGAATA